ACAGCAGGGATAATTGTTTGTCTAATAGCTCATGAAAGTGTTCTCAATAAATCAGTCATTGCCTGGAATATAACACACAAGTGAAACACCACAATACCTCTCATTCGCTTCTTATAAATTATATACGGTACCATCTGTCTACTTCTACGTAGCAGATCCAGCTGCCGGGAAGAGGGGCCAAGGAAAAGCTCTTCACATTTAACCTCAGAACGATGGCAAACATTGTGTCCACGTGTCCGGCCTGAGCTCTGTTAGAATGAGCTGCTCTAAGGGCCAGGAAGCAGCCGAAAGGGAAGGAGGCTACTCTTGATTATTCACCACGTGGACGTGTCTCTGGGGCTTGTGATGTTAATGGTGTGATACAGACTAAGCAAGAAGACAGCAAACTAGACTGCCCTGAAAGGAGGGCGGAGGGCCGTTTGTGGTCTATGTGCTCTGAGACGGGCGCCCCCGTTTCTGGAAGGAAAGGAGCCCACTTACCTCACGTACAAATCCGAATGGTATTTCTTTCCGTTTAGGACTCCCAGCAGGGTTGGGTTTTCGTTATTTCTGAAATTGAGTGTACAGTCATATACAGCTGAAACTATAGAAAATAAAACAAATACAAAGCAGTATATAGCAGGTGGACCCAACTGTGTCTGATAGATACACACATTGGAAGACAGTTATCAAAGTGTTAACCGGATATCACAATGGTGGGATGACAGGTTTCGCCTTCCTGCTTTCCTGCCTCCTCCACGTGTTCCATACCGGACACGTGTCACCTTTCGTAATCGGGAAGCCTCACTGTAAGTCAGTAATAAAACCAGTTAGCACTGGGGTCAGACCAGTGGACAGCAACGTGGCAGCATGGGCTCCTGGTATCCCACAGCCGTGAGGCACAGCTTTCGGATAGGCACAGCCTATCATGGTCAACAATTACCAATATTTAAACCAATACTGACAGAAGGATCCATCAGTCCAAAGCACGTCAGCTAGAGATGTGTCTACAGCAATGGGACCATTCTGTGAGCATGTTTCCCGTAGAAAAAGATGGTTACACACTAGGGTGAGATGCTGGTTGGGAATCCTTACGGAATGGAACGGTACTCAGTGGAAACGTGGCTGGGAACCAAGCAGCCTCTGACCAATGGGATTACCAAACGGGGGCCAGCCTGTCAGCACCCTGACGGCAGGCGGGACCAAAGCCACTGCTCAGTCAATGGTACTGGGTAAAGGGATGACAGGGTGGCAAGCGAGCAGGGAAAAGACAGCACAACAGAAGTCGGCAGTGGGTGCCCATGGCCCCCGACTGGGTGGTGTCGAAGGAAGGACAGGACAGGTGTCGCGGTCAGACTGGGTGCAAGTCTCCGTTGGGAACTGTGGGTCTCCTCTCAGGCACATCACTGAGCCTCCTTGCACCGAGTTCTCCTAGGAAGTGGGACTAAGACTACTTTCTCCCCCTGACGCTGAGATGGTGGATGGCAGGTACGGACGCAAGGCCCACGCTGTACGTGCTCTGTTAATGACGTGCCAGCACTGCTGCGTGCACCACGTTCGTTCAGTTACAGAGAGGGGAGCTGCAGGGTGGTAGGACAGGGAGGAAGCACCTTGCGCCTCGAAGAAAATGAAGCGCTGAGAGTCAAAGAACAAGAAGATGACCACTGTCCGTGTCTTCCACCTGCAGCCCAACCACCACAGGTGCTGGGTAGGGGGTGTCTCAGCCCGTGAGAGAGACTCCCCCAGCAGGTTGGTGGGGAGCCTGGCAGCAGGGCCCTGGGGCTCCCACGGCCCCTCCCCTGTCCTGGGCCAGGACGTGCTGCCAGGGCTGTTCGCCTGTGGGGACAGCCTCCCCTCCACTATGAGGTGCTGTCCCCCTCCACTATCAGGCGCTGCTGGCCAGGGCTGTTGGGAAGGACCCTGGTGTCATTTTGCTTTGCAGGTGTTCAAAGCATGACGTTTTACGTGGAGAGAAGGGCCATCCAGGCTGCATGAAGTCTGACCAGAGGCATAAGGTTGAGCAAAAAGGACCCCAGAGGTCATCCACTTCGGGGTTCCCTGTGCCCCACTGCTACCCAGGCTCTCAGAGCATAAAGGGCAGGAGTGGAGGTGCTTTGGATAACACAGACAGGGCGAGCCCTGGGATTCCCCAGGGACAACCCACACACTGGGGATTTGCACACTTCTCACTTTCCAGGGGAGAAACCAAAGTGATCCCACTGGGTGTGTCTGCAGAGCCCATCGGCAAGACGGGGAACACCCTTTGCCTAACTCCCTCCCGCCAGACAGTTGGGTGGGGTCCCTGCTCACCATGAACTAGCTGAGTGACTTTAGCTAGTTACTCAGCTTCTCTGAGCCAAACTTCCTTACCTGCAGACTGGAAGTAAAACAGCCTACCGCACTGGTGTGGAGGGGAAAGCCAGTCCTGGCTGACGCCCTGAGTCTGTCAGCCAGTGGTGTCCATGGGGTATCTGTAACGCCTCCTTGAGGACAGTAGGGGTGCCTTCCCCACTGCCACCCACAGACAAACACTGCTCAGGGAGTGTCACTTGTCTTCCCCAGGGAAGGTGGGCAGAACAGGCAAACCAAAGCTGAAGCTGGATGGACGCTCCCTACAGGAGACGGTGAGCTAAACCTGGGGTCAGTAACAGCCATTATCTTATTAAATGCTGGCCGTTTGCTAGGCATCATGCTACCTGCTTTAATCCTCATTGTACCCCCGGAGGTTTTATAGAAGAGGAAACCTAGGACCAGAGAGGTGAAGTAACTTGTCCAGGGTCACACAGTGAGTGGGGGTGAAGCTGGGATTCCATGCCAGACCATCTGATGGAGTAGTCTGTCTGGGAAGATGGGAAGGGGAAGTGGCAAGTGGGCATCCTTGGCCCTGGTTGTTGGGGTCAGGAGTGGAGGCCGGGACAGCAGGGCAGCTTCTAGCCCCAGGTTAAGTCCAGAGCCCCTGGCTTGCAGACAACAAGGACTTTAGACATGTTCTCTGTGGGAGGGCCCTGCAGAGCAGGAGGAGGTTGGAGGCAGCCACGCCTGCTGGGGCTGTGGTTCTGCAAGCAAATGAACTGCTGTCTCTCCAGAACCTTCCGGCTCTGCCTGGGAGCGACAGTAGGTCCTGTGTGTGTACGGGGCACGTGGCACATGGCACGTGGCCCGTGACAGTGGGAGTGGTCAGGCACAACAGTGACGGAGACAGAGGGGCTGGGGCAAGGAAGCCAGGCATCCTGTTCCCAGGACAAAGCGAGAGCGTGACCCTGAGCGAGAGTGGGCCGGGCCACCACCTGAGGCTTGCCTGGAGCAGGGCTGGTTCCAGGCCTGGGGCTGCCGAGTGGGTGAGGGCTTCGGGGCCAGGCAAGGAGTGCTGACTCGGGGGGTCTGAACCCACCAAGGGCAGGGGCTCTGGACATGGGGCAGTCACCTGAGAAGAGTGGAGTGTGGAGTCTAGACCCGGCTCTGCCCTAGGGGCTTCTTCCCTGGACCTGCATGGGGCCAGGGCTGCTTCTGACAGGCAGCTCGAGGGGACAGCAGGACACCTTGCCCGTCAGTCCTTCCTTCTTTTCTAAACCCCTGGCGTGGCTGCGGCCCTTGGGAAGCCTTCTTTAGAGAAGAAGGGTTGGGGGTCCTCGCCCCTGTATCTGTTCTCAAGGGCAAGGGCTGCTGACCACGGGGTCCTCTCTTCTCCATGTGGCAGAGAGCCAGCCTGGACCACTGCCCGCCCAGCCCAGTGGGGCGGCCCCACAGGGCTCCAGAGCTACCTTGAGCCTCCTCAGCTGGACAGCGTGTGAAGTCCCTTTAAAGATGAGGGAGGGGGCCTAGGAGAAGGGCTGGCTGCGTAAGAGGATTTTGAGACGAGGCCATGAGGAAGGAGGCTGGCGGCTGTTCTAACAGCTGTTTCTGTTACCATCTTATCCTCTTATTTGCAGTCATTTAGGGCTCCAAACTCACGAGTCGTGGCCACAGGTCACAGGGCCAACACACTCATCATCCGGAGGCAGCTCAGTGAGGGCAAAGAAGCAGGATGTGGCTGACGTGGGTCTGCAGGTGAGGCCAGGCAGAGCCCAGGTGTGTGGATTCTAGCACCTTTACCTCAGCCCTGCAGTACCCGTGCTGGGCAGCAGAGGGCAGTGTTGGCCTGGACGAGCGGTCCCTCTCTGGACCAGTGAGTGCCTGTCACAGTGGAACACTGTTTCTGCTCTAAGCTGTCCCTAACTTAGCAGCCTCTGCCGGCTCCTTGCTGGGCTCCTTGCTGTATGCCCAGGGACACTGCTAAGGCAAAGCTGCCAGCATCCGGGCGGCCTGCCTTCCGGGAGCAGGATGGGGGTGGGGGGTGCAAGGGGCTGGGGTGTCCTTACCTACATTTCTCAAACTCCGCACGGTCACGGCGAAGCCCTTGGTGCGCGGCAGCAGGTGGTACTTGAGGCCTGGCAGCCCCTTGGCCTTGGCCACCTGCATGCTGATCTGGTGCTTCTTCTCCGTGAATCGAGTGCCCTCACAGTGGATCAGGAACTGCGGAGACAGGGGCCGGGTCACCATCCCCGCAGGACGCAGAGGGTCACCGGGCCCTTCCCATGCCCACATGCCTGCCCCCCCGGCCCCTCCACGGCCATACGCCTGCCCGCCCACCCACCCGGCCCCTCCATGCCGGGTACTTCATGGGTCAGAGATTCTTAGGGGCTTCCAGGACGGAGGGCTTCCCATCTGCTGGTGTATGGGAAGTAGAGAAGAGCGTGAGAGAGAGACTGTGAGAGATTGTGTGTGTGTGAGGCAGACTGAGAGACATGTGAGTGTGTGTATGAGACTGTGTAAGTGAGACACTGTGTGAGACTGTGTGTGAGAGAGAGTCAGTGAGAGGCGCACCGAGGGTTGACTCCTAAACCAGTGTGTTTATGTAGAGAGGACACAGGTAGGCAGGGAAGGTGTCAGGAATGTGTGGGGATGTGTCCCCCAGCCCGAGTGAGTGATACTGGGGGCCTGCGAGGTGAGAGGGAGGTTTACGTACGAAAAACTTTTCGGGGTAGTCCCGGAGGCTGAGCAGGCTCTTCAGGACCGTCTTACGGTCCTCCTCCCACTTGCGCTTACAGAAGACCATCTCCAGGAAGTACCACATCCAGCCGATGATAGGGACATACGCCAGCTCCTTCTTGGCCAGGACTTTGGAGGCCTGAAAGAGAAGGAGGGGCCACAGGGTCTATGGCCAGGGTTGATGGCTGCTTCCCTTGCCTGCTGGAGAACTTGCTAGAGAAAGAAGAGTAAGCACCCACTCCAAAGGCCTAAGGAGACATTTCCTGGGAGTGGGGCCTTGTTTGGGAAACAGCAGCAGAGGGTGGATGCTGGTGCTAATCCCTTCCGAGTGATGTCTTATAAACCAGACCAGACGGGGAGACCGAGGCAGGGGAGAAGACGCTGTGTGAATCGTCATCTCTGAGTCCCAGAGGAGCTCCAAGGATTGGCGGGAGCCACTGGAAGCCAGAACAAGGCCTGGAGCCTCAGAAGGAATCTACCCAGCCAGGAGCCTGAGCTCGGACGCCCAGCCTGCAGCGCCGTGAGGCTTTATGTTCCTGCCCTTGAAAGCCGCCCCTTTGTGGTGTTTAGTTATGGCAGCCCTGGGAAATGAAGCCAAGAAACAGACCCCACCCCACCCCGAGCCAGGCCTCTGGGCGCGATGCTGCCCTCATCAACCCTCACCAGACCACCGAAACTGAGGTCACACGTTGGCTGCCTTAGGCCACGGAGTTTGGGGCTTGCCACAGAGCACTGGATAACTACTACTGCATATGGCTTCCTGAAGGATCATGGGAAAGTACCTCAGAGGGCCCCTGCACCGGCCTCTGGGCCATGATCCCCCAGCAGATAAACGGGGACGATGACAACTACCGTGCAGGGCGTGCTCACCACGGGCAGGTGCAGCTCAGATGCTTGGCAGACAGGGTCTGATGCAAACTTCTGGGGTCACTGCTAAGCGACAGATGTGTTTCACTGAGGCAACAGATGAGTAAATGGACAGGAAGCAGAAACCGTGGCCCTTGGACTTTATGCCCGGACACTGGTACAACTTAGAGGTGTACCACCCTCACTCCACAGAGCAAGGATGAGGGAATGGCTCACCCATCAGGACCCAGCCTCTAAGGCACTGGTCCTTGAGTCAAGTAGCGCCTCCGAGGACAAGGACATCCTGCGCAGGGCCTTGGAACAGCCTCCGGCCACTGGGCCTGGGAACCCAAGGCGGAAAGCTGCTATGTTTTTGAAATCGCACTTCTCCCCACCCTCACCAAAAGAAAAGCAATTTGACATGTAATAACCCTCTCTCAAGGATTTCTGCAAATTTCTTTTATTTTAGCTTTGACTCACTTCCAAAGTGGCCAGTTAATTTCTTCTCCCCTGGAAAGTACAGGCAGTCCCTGGGTTACTAACGAGATCTGTTCCTACATGTGTCTTACGTGTTTAAGGCAAATGTGTGGGGAAGTCAGAACAGCTCCGTCTTGGGCTGTTACATGAGGAGATGAAAAGTACCTGGTGAGGACCCCTCTGCTCGTCACTGTTTGAAACACAAAAGCCTCAGGCTCCGGGAGGCTCTCAATGTCACACATGATGTAAAGAAAGAAGGAAACGGTGAGGGGCATGCGTGTGTGTGTGTGTGTGTGTGCGCGCGCATGCGCGCACATGTGAAGGCAACTTAAGATACAAAATAGTGCTGCACAATTACTGTATTAAGAAGCCACTTCATATGTGGGCAGCCCCTGGGTTGCAAATGTCTGACTTAGGGACAAACGTCTGACTTAGGGACAACTCTACTTGCCCTTTTAGGTAAATCTGCCCTCACTCTGAACCTACCGCACCAACCCCTTGTTGTTGCTGTTGTTGTTGTTGTTAGGTGCCCTCGGGTCAGCTCCGACTCACAGCAGCCCTGTTGTACACAACAGAACAAAGCACAGCCCGGTCCCGCGCCAGCCTCGCAATCAATTCCTGCTAAGCTCGGGCCTGTTGTTGCGGTCACTGTGACAGCGCAGCTCACTGAGGGCCTTCCCCGACTCACGACAATTTGCGTCCCCAACCCCCGCACTTGCTGCACGGGCAGCTTTCTAATCATCCAAAGGCTTTGAGTCTTGGCTTGCACTGAAGTAAAACTAAATAAGAGTCGTGTGTGCACCTGATCCAACTTAACTACAGTTTTGATTTAAAGACTTAAGGCACTCAGGAACGGATCGCATTTGTAACCCGAGTACTGCCTGGGCTTTCAAGGGGAGAAGAAATTAACCGGTCTTTGGCGAGAGGCCAGGGGTCTCACAACATCACCCACAATGAGTAGACCCGGCTCCTTCAGGAGTGCTACACGGACGCCAGGACTGTCCCCTGTGACGTATGGGGGACACTCCCCAGGAGGACACACTCCGGGCGCTTCCACCAGTGTTGGCTCACCTCCCAGCAAAGTTGCTGGCTCCCTCCTCTAGCACTCTCCTGGGGGCCAGCTCTCTGCCAGCACTTGGCTCTAGGGGGACATTCAGAGTAACAGCTCTGGGCGGGTCTGCGATGAGCAGGAAAAGTGACCCTCCTGCTCGCCCTCTCCACCCTCCAAGAGGAGCCCTGAAGTGAATCAGGGGCTCAGGAATATTTTGGCAAGAAACCGGAACACCGTAGGGCCCTGCTGAGCAGGTCTCAAATCCCAGTGAGGGTGGGAGACGCACTGACCGGGGCGAAGTGTTCAAGACTCGCTTCCTTTACCTCTGGGCGGGTTATACACGTATCTGTTAAAATAAGTGGGGATGCTCCCACCTCTTGACACTTGACATTAGTTGTGGGTTGTTGGTTTGTTTGTTTTAATAATAATAATCTTATAAACCAAACCCCAAACCTACTGCTGTTCATGAGTTGATTCTGACGCCCAGGAACCCTTTAGGCCAGAGCACAACCACATAGGGTTTCCAAGGCTGTAAATCTTAATGGAAGCAGATTGCTTCATCTTTTTCCCATGGAGCAGCTGGTGGGTTCAAACCACTGACCTCTTGGTTAGTAGCCGAATACTTTAACCACTACATGACCCGAACTCCTGTAATAATCTTGTAGGCCCTCTCAATAGGACATTCATTGAAGAAAGTCAAGTTAGAGATGAGAAGTCTCTATGTCGTAGGCCCTTCTGCTCAGTAACAATCATTCACCAGCGCATTCAAGAAGAGACAGTGGTCCATTGGGCGCCTACCTGTACCAGGAGCACAGGCTTCAGAGCCTCTGGGGGCAGCAGAGCCCCAGATGGTCCTGGGACGGAGTCAGCGCTCAGTGTCCGTGGCCCCCCCTCCCTATGTGCTACTTCTCCTCCATGTTCATTGCTAGGACTCATCTTTTCGCCTATTTCTGTCTGTCCCCTCCACCTTCTGACCCTGGACGGCCTGTGGGCTTCTCCCAGCGTCCTGCTTGGTTAGTTCCTTCCTGCTCCATCCATGGCCGGAAGAAGGCCCTGGTGACTTGCACCCTGAGAACAAGCCTTGCAGCAGTGTGAGCTGGGAGGGGCGTTGGAAGCCTGTCCCCTGTCATGCGTCCCTGTGTCTGAGGACGCTAAGGTCGGCCCATCTCTGTAGCAGGTCTCAAGCCCCCGCTGCCCTGAACTCTTCCTCCCGACACCTCCCAAAGGGCAAGAGCAGAGGCTTGGAAATCATACAGCAGTCCCTGGGCAAATTATTTAACCAAACCGAGGCACCAGAGTTTACTTATAAAATGCAGTATCAGGAGGAGTATTTACTTATATAGCAGTATCAGGAGGGTTAGTCCTAGCATAACTCAAGAAGGTGGCACAGAAGAAGCACACAGCAACAGTGGCTGGAGTAATTACTCATGGTCCTAAAGCTACCAAGACACAAGCTGGAATCTGAAAAGACCCCAAGACCACTAGACTCTTTGCTACACCACAGGGACTCCTGTGCCTCACCAACTACAAACATTTGCTCGTTGTCCAGCATGGACACCACCAAAACCACTCAAAAAGCCCTGGAAAAAACACCAGCTGCTTCCAAAGTACCCTGTGGGGATTCTAGGGGATTCTAGGAGAGGTTGGCAGTCGGAAAGGTCTAGATCTAAGGTGGTAAAGCCAGTGGGTCAAGGTCAGGATGAAGAGGCACCACCTACCCTTCTCTCTGGCACGAGAACAATCCTGTGCTTCACCACTGGTGTCCGTGGCGGGGTTAGAACCAAGCTGTGTTGAGGGGTCTTCTCTCAGAGAACAGACCCACAAAATCAACAGAGACCCCACCCAGGGTCTCTAAAACAGGGACATGTAGACACCACACTTTGTGTTTGTTCCTGGAAACATATCTGAGTGCACCCATCTGCACACACGCATGCACACATGCACATGCAGATGAGATACCAGGTCAGCACAGCATAAACAGGAAGGCAAAGGAGAAGACCACTGGCAGAAGGGCCCGTGGCTTCCCCAGTAATCCTTCCAGCACACACTCGCCCACAGTCAGTGGGTTTCTAGAAGGTCTTAAGGCAGCAACAGTGACTTCACTTCCTGTTTCTATCTTTGGAAAACCTGCTAAGGACCTTCGTTGTCTTTTGGTGTTTAACAGCATAGCAACCAGCAACACTTATGCCATAAAGACATGAGCAGGATGTGTTTCCAAGCCCACACTTCCTTCTCTCGCCTTCAGCCCCCAATTAGGTAATACATAAATGTTTAGAAGCCCAAACAACAGGTATCCAAGGATGGCCAATGATGCTTAGCTAGGGTCTTCCCGAACAGCACAGTCAGGCAGGGCCCCAAGTTTTGTTGCCTAACTCTGAGACTCCATGAGCAGCCAAGGACGAGATCACTGGGGCCGTGGCCACCTGCCTATGGCAACAGACCTGCTGGATCTCCCACTCCCATTTGTTCTCCACCCTCTGAAACCACCTTTAGCATTCTGTGCTCTAAATAGTGGGACTCGGCTGATAGGGTCACCAAAACCAGGAGGGGTGCGAGCAGCCCTCTCTCTGTGGGATTGCTCCCGGGTGCAAAGCAAGGTCCCCAGGCTCTGAGGCAAATGGTCACAGCCTTCCTTAGCCCTGGGCCACCGCATGCTGATGCCTGCTGGCATCCGTGACTATCTTGGGAATCTGAGTCCATCAGGTGACATGGGTTCAACGAAACACTTCCCTGCTTGTTAAAGATAACAGACGTCAAATCAAAAGACCACTTCCAGATATTTTTTCCACGTAAAATATGATTTTATTAAAAGAACACACAAAACGTGTCACTATTCTACTTTTGCCATCTTTTGAGGAATGCTGCCTATTAAACACATTGCCCTGAACTTTATGGACACATTTATAAGCAATGCTACCACAGAAACAACACAAAAGGAATGAAATAGTCCTACCTGTTAGATAATTTAATCATTTGCATGCTACATGTAAGAAGTCAAATTCAGACCAAACTTACTGCCATCAGGTGGATTCCGACTCATAGTGACCCCCATTGTGTTTCCAAAGTCGTCAATCTTTCCCTAAGCAGACTACCTCATCTTCCTTCCATGGAGTGGCTGGTGGGTTCCAACCACTAGCTTTTTGGTTAGCAGCCAAATGCCTTAATTTCTCTACCACCAGAGCTCAAACTAGTTGGAAAAAACAGGATTTCATACTTAATTCTAAGTTCTGGAATTCAAGCTCTCACTGACAGAGTCAATGTTCTCAAATCTATGAAGATCGAAATTGAGAGGTGGGTCCTGCCTATTAGCCAGAGAAGCCACAACGCCTAGGATGAGGGGTATGAACCAGCCTCAGGCTGGATGTGAGTTCAGACCACATTTCACTGACAGCACTGTGACCTTCCAGAAAATATTTAAGCTCGCTATAGCACTTGGCTGCTAACCAGAAGGCTGGAGATTCAAACCCAGCAGCCACTCCTCAAAAGGAAGGTGGGGCAAGCTACTTCCATAGTGATACCTCCTCAGAAACCCAGGGAGGGGTCACTGTGAGTCAGGTCCAACTCGACAGCACATAACAACAACATAGCTTAGTTTTGTAAAGGAGGCTAGACCAATTTACTCTGTAAACTTTGACCTAAATCACAATAAAAAGTTAAAATAAAAATTTAAAAAAACAGGAAGGAAGTGGGGGTAGGTAGGCAGTATTATCTACTCATAGATATTCCTGTAAGGATCAAACGCTTGTTTGTAAAATACCTGGCACATGGTAGTTGCTGACTAACTGCCATTGTTGTTAATCCCAATGCCAAGCCAGAATGAGACACAGGTGGTTAGAAACCTAATTGATGCTTCTACAAATTCTGAATGAACGAGGGCCAGGCCAGTCATGGTCCCGAGCAAGAGAAAGGTGTGACGAAGTCAATGGAGTCCAACTTACCGCTAAGACCCCAAACCGTTCAGCCAAGGTCCAACCACACAGGAAGTCGATCTCAAACTTGTGGTTGAGAACCACGATGGCACTCTCCTTCCCGTACTTGGGGTAGTCCCGGGGGTCCGTGTAGAGGGTGCACTCCGTCCCTGACCACCACTCCAGCAGCATCACCAACTCTGAAACAAACCACAAGAACAGACACACGTTTCGCCTGCGTCCTTCATGGAGCAGGGGCGCCCTAAGTCGACACTGGGGGCATCTCCATGGGCGAGGGGTCCCTCGGTCCTCTGGGCTGTCACCTGGACTCCACTCCGCGAAAGGTCCCACCACCGGCTCCAGATTAGAAAAGGAAGCAGAGTGACAGCAAGCAAATGGCTCCCATCGCTGGATTAAGTTGGACTGGGGGCCAATCAGTCAAAAACTTGGAACAATCCAGAATGAGGGCCCCTGTGTTTATAGAGCTGGGAACGGCTATGAGAGATGCTGAACAGAATCTCACTGTGCTGGGGCGTGGCTACCTGGGATACTTGGAAACCATCGCACGACACTAAACACCCAAGTTTTCTCTTCCATTCACCATGCTTGAGTGCCCAGGAGGCTTCAGTGTCCACCAGCAACGGTGTGACAGTGTATGGGGTGACGGCGTGCTCCAGGGGCAAC